TTAGTAGTAATGGAACGTTTGTTCATGGCACAAAATTCTACAATTTTTCTGTTATCACAGTGCAGAATTCTGTGGTTTAGGGTGAACGCCAAATTCACCTGGCACCTGCATATTATGAGCTGTGTAAAAAAAAAGACCGATTCGTTCAAATACACAAGCCTGTGTCATCTCGATTGTTTACCAAGAAAAAGTTGTGTTGCTGTGTCGAGCTGAGCATACGGCAACTTTTGATTCCATAGATCAGCGCACAATTCATTACGTAGATCTACGTCAAGACTAGCTTATTATTGTAATAATGATCAGTTGCCGTTGAAAAAAAGACTGACGCGTATGCGACGTTCAACGCCTGGACCGATAGTGCCCCCCCACCTCCCTCCCCGACACGCACACAGCTACACGTGTGCAGGCTGCCCATCCAACCCCGACACATGCTAACGAGCCATCTTTAATTGCTTCTGATGACCTCTTGACAAATAAACATTTATTAGAAGCGCTATAACTTTTCAGGCCGGCCTCAAATTCATCATAAGATTAAAACTCGGCTCCTGCACAAAATGCCATTTTGCCCGAAGTGATCCCGGTCTCTACCCAGCCTGAGGCGAGTCACGAGTGAGGCAGGACAGGAAGTCGAAAGTGATATCATGCTGGACAAGAATCAGAGTCCGAATAACATTTTTTCATAATCGGACTTGAGTCCGAATAGTCACTTCGATGAGTAAATCTGGTCAAGTCTTTTAATCGGAGTGATTATTCTCACCCGGGGTGAGGATAAACTGGATATTATTATCACCCTGGATGAGAATAAATTATTGATACTATTCTCTCACCCCGGGTGAGAATAACGACAGCCTACTATTCTCACCCGTTTTTTTCGTTTCGGGCATCATAGGACCCCTGTCACTGAGCGCTCCAGGCGACAAAACTCGCCTCTCTTTCCTCTCACTCCGCTGAGCGGGCGAAGCGACTAAAATCGCCAGCGGGCAGGCCATCTCTCGAGCGCGGGAGGCGACTATTGTCCATTTGGGGGAAAACCTTATGACCAAATAGCGTCACCTTTTGTCTTTTGTTGCTACAGTATTAATTTATTGGTTCTGTAATGGAACATTTTACTCTTGAATGGTTTAACCAATCAAAAAAAAATAAAATAAATAATAAGCCTAGGATCAAGGCACTGTGTTCCTTGTAAAATAATCGTGGGTTCTGCTAGGGATAAACAATTAAACATGTTTTTTGTGTTGTAAGCAAATGCCAATTCTAACATTACAATGAAAAACTATATATTACTAAGATTATTTCATTAAACAGCTTTCAGTTAAGGCTATTATATTGTAAAAACATACTACTTTCGACTCTAGATTTAAACAAATGAAACAATAACAATCCCCGCGGGAGCCTAGAAAAATCGGCCAGCGCTCTGGGGCAGGTCACGAACGGTCACTCTCTTACAATTCACAAATTATTTTTCTATCATCCATTCTCAACACCCAGGTAGACCTAAAAATCCATGGTGAGAATGACAATATAATATTATTTTCACCCCGGGTGAGAATAACGACAGCCAAGTCTTATACTAGTACCCAGTGTCCATTGGGGGATCGATTCTCTAACTCTAATACTAACCGGTTGCCCGACTCGCAAGCTTAAAAACAACGAAGGCCTCAAAACAAATGCGTTTTACGGTTTTTAGGCGACTAGTCAGTTGATCAGTTTGTGCCCCGAAGGTCGCTTTGTGCCCTCAAGCTGGCGGTAACCGCTTATATTATCTCTCTAAAATTGTTATGTGTAGAGGTTTGGAGGATCAGCCTAAAGCAGTCGTACATTTCTATTAGCTAATTTATTTTTAACAGAACTAATGATCTTGCCAATTGCACATTTCATCCATAATACCTAAAAACTTTGTTGATTTGACTTGATAGATTCCAATATTGCCAATACTTATTTATGAAAGGTGTAGCTGATCAGGTAGACTCAAACAGCCCCCCCCGTCCTTCACACAATGCCCCAACCGTCCCCCCAAAATCGTGATTAGCGATTGCCATGACAATGCGCGCTTGATGTTTGTGAGTGTGCTACAAAATGACTGTCTCCATTCAACCTTGTGGATTTGGGGTGTGACAACTTGACTGCACCGGTATGACAAAATGACCGTGTGATGAAATGACTGGCATTCAAGCTGGCGAGCCCCGCCTATCAAACCGAACCGAACTGATGGTGCCTATAGGCACTGGGTAGCCTGTTAGATTTAATCGTCTTTGTCTTAGCACCCATTAGTTATAAGTTATTAGGCTTCATCTTTGCCCAACTTTCTGTTAGGATGTTATATCCCTCTGAGCCTGGGTTGGCCTTTATAGGCAGGCTCGGAAGCCTGCTTCCTAAAAGATCTAAATTTGTGTTGATAGAGAAAACTGTAACTCCATATCTCTGGTAAGCTGCTTCCGGTGGCTAGCGGTCAGAACCGCTGTGCTGATGAGCAGCTGGCAGTGTCTGGGGCACGTTATTTTTAACTGTGATTTCGACGTTATCTTTAACTCGGGAGTTCTTTCATTAGATCAAGAACCATCAAAATAGGTTCATTTGTTTTGATTTGATGACTAATTTAGTGGTGACGTTTATGTCACTTTTAGAATTTTGTACCAAAAGAGGGCTCGAGCAAGGTAGGGAAAACCCCTCCTTCCGTAGATAAATAAAAGA